CAGAAACTTCTCTATGAAGAGCTGAGAGAACTGGTCCCAAGTAAGAGCAGGCGACCCAACTGGCCTGGTCAACAAGTAATCTCTCCACCATTTCTTGGCGGAACCAGTCATCTGAAATGCAGTAAAATCGATCCCATTGGTCTCCACTATACCCATGTTCCGTAAAACCTCGTGACAACTGTCAAGATACTCCTGGAGGTCCTCTGAAGGACCACCACTAAAGTGAATAGGAAAGAGCTTGGTAAACCTGTCCAATCTCCATAAAGCCTCAGAAGACATAGCTGGCCCATCTCTGACTTATGCCGCAATAACCGACTGAACTAACCCGATTGGCTGAGCTGCTGGAGCCTGATACTAGGGAGCTATCTGCTCCGGAGCATAAGTGGTAGGAGTCTAGGCTCCTCCTCCAGACTGAGAGACTGCTGGTGCCATGGGAAATGCGCTAGCCTGGGCCACACTCTCCATATGGCCCACCAAACGGACCAAAGCATCCTAAAGTACTGAGGTAGCAATGAACCCCTCCGGAACCTGAGCTGGTTCGACAGGAACAGTCTAGGATGAAACCTCCTCGTCAATCTCTATCTGAGGCTCCACTGCTGGGGCTGCTGCTCGGGCCCTAGGTTGAGCCCTGCCCCTGCCTCGGCCTCTGGAACGGCCTCGTCTTCGACCTCTGCCCCACGTAGGAGCTGCCACTGGAGGCTCTGGCTGCTGCTCAGCTGAGGAAGTTGTACGTGTTCTCGCCATCTGCGAGAGAATATGAGTAACAGAGTTCAATCAGTATTGAGAAAGCAAAATCGCATGACGGAGAAGAATAGAAGTGAAACTTGTTCCTAAACTTCATAGCCTCTGGAAGATAAGCANCAGTATTGAGAAAGCAAAATCGCACGACAAGGAAGAATAGAAGTGAAACTTGTTCCTAAACTTCATAGCCTCTCGAAGATAAGCACAGACGTATCCGTACCGATCCTCCAGACTCTGCTAAGCTTGCTCGTGAATCGTGAGACCTATGTAACCTAGTACTTTGATACCAACTGTCACAAACCGAAATTTTTCACTGACGGGACCGTGATGGCACCTAACATTCCACTCGCCAGGCAAGCCAACGTTAGAGAATTATTAAACCAATAGCAGAACGGGGACTTCAAGGTCTGTGAACGCCAACAGATCTACCTTGAGTCTCCGGACAGCGGATCAATAGCAAATCTCGATCAACCTGAGCCGGTATCAAAATCTGCACAGAAAGTGTAGAGTGCAGCATCAGTACAACCAACCCCATGTACTGGTAAGTGTCGAGCCTAACCTCGATGAAGTAGTGACGAGGCTAAGGCAAGGCACCTACAATCAACCTGTACAATTTAACAGTGTATACGCAAATGACAAGAATGAAGAACTAAACAGGAAATGTCGGGAGGGAAGACATACTAAGGGGAATACAGATAAAGAACTACAACAGAATGATCACCGGAGTAGTCAATATACCATGAATCAACAGAAATAATGAATACAGTAAAGAAAAATGCACGGCATCACCCTTCGTGCTTTTACTCTCAATCTCACCATAAAATTAATAGAAACGGCACGGCATCACCCTTCGTGCATTTACTCTCATATCATGGCACGGCATCACCCTTCGTGCATTAACACTCACAATATGGCACGGCATCACCCTTCGTGCATTAACACTCTCCCTTACCATAATGCAATGCATGAATAACAACAGAGAGATAAAATAACAAGTACAAACCTTACTTCAACATTTGGTTTCATAATATCAATCTCAACTTTGAAATAAAAACTAAATTATCACCATAAAATTCCGTAAACATGATAAGAACGATAATTTGAACAACACCAGTATAACACATAGCAATTTGGCATAGGAATAAGACAATATAAGAAAAATAGAGAAATATGGAAAACAAGTAAATTGGCGGCGCATAACTACTCGTCACCTCACATATACGCCGCTCACATGAATTTCACTTGGCAAATAATCTAAGGTTCCTAATTCCCTCAAGTCAGGATTAGACACAACACTTAACTCGCTCCGAAGGCCACTTAATTCTCAATCACAGCTTTTCCTTGGGAATTCACCTCCAAACCACTCGTATCTATTCAAAAATGACTCAATAATATCAAATATTGCTAACGGAATCAATTATATTTCATAAATTAAATTTTTCAATTTTTCCTCCAAAAAGTCGAAAAATTGACCTCGGACCCGCTTGGTCAAAACCCGAGGTTCGGACCAAAATCTTTTTACCCATTCACCCCCGAGCCCGAATATGTAATTAGTTTTGGAATCCAACCTCAAATTGAGGTCTAAATCCCCAAATTCCCGAAATCTCTATTTTCTACCCTAACCCTTAATTCTTCCATGAAAACTCTAGATTTTAGGTTGAAAATTCAAGTAATGTAATGGGTAACTCAAAGAAAATGGTTTAGAATCACTTACCAATAATTTGGGGAAGGAATGACTCTTGAAAAATCGCCCCTCACCGTTTGGTTATTGAAAAAAATGAGTTTTTTGGCAAAAATCCCGTTTTGGATTCTGTTAAGTGATGGGCGACAGTGTTCATCGCGTTCGCAAGAGCACTGTCGCGTTCGCGAAGTGTATGGCCTGCCAAGCCTTCGCGTTCGCGAGGTAGTGCTCGCATTCGCGTAGGCTACCCTTCCCTGGTCTTCGCGTTCACGAGACATTGCTCGCGTTCGCGATGAAGAAAAGGCTAACTCCCCCTCCCCAATGCCTAATGCTACGCGTTCGCGATGGGCTTGTCGCGTTCGCGAAAGGTAACTCCCCCATCGCTTCGCAACGCGAAGGGTAACTCCCCCATCGCTTCGCGTTCGCGAAGAAGAAATCCTCAGCTACCCAGTTTACTCTTTGCATTCGCGAGAGTGCCTTCGCGAACGCGAAGAAGGACATGCCAGAACACAGATTCTACAGAAAAACCAGATTTCCAAAGTCCAAAACATCCCGTGGCCTATCCGAAACTCACCCAAGCCGTCGGGGCTCCAAACCAAACATGCACACAAGTCTAAAAACATCATACGGACCTGCTCGCGCGATCAAATCAAAAAAATAACACCTAGAACTCTAAATTTAGTACCAATTCAAATGAAATTCTCAAGAACACTTTAAAATTTCTATTTTCTCAACTGGATGTCCGAGTCACGTCAAATCAACTCCGTTTCTCACCAAATTTCACAGACATGTCTTAAATATCATAATGAACCTGTACCGGGCTCTGGAACCAAAATACGGATCCAATACTAACAATGCCAAATATCAATCAATTCTTAAAAACAAATAATTTTCAAACTTTTAATTTTCATCAAAGATTCATAACTCAAGCTAGGGACCTCCAAATTCGATTTCGGTCATACGCCCATGTCCCATAATTCGATACGGACCTACCGGGACCGTCAAAGCACGGATCCGGGCCCGTTTACCAAAAATGTTGACCGAAGTCAACCAAAATCAACTTTTAAGGCAAAAATTCTTACTTTCATTAGTTATCAACATAAAAACTTTTTCGGAAACCTGCCCGGACTGCGCACGCAAATCGAGGAGGATAAAAATGAGATTTTTAAGGCTTAAGAGCGCAGATTCGAGTTCTAAAATATAAGATAACCTTTTGGGTCATCATATTATTACATTACTAGTTGGCTTACATCTTCATATCTCCCAATTCTACTTGAATCATTTCTCAATCTCAACGTTAGCTAATAATAATACTACTACATGCTATTTGACAGATTTTCTCTAACTACTAATCTTTTCATGATTTATGATTATATTCTAGGCACTTCTCTATATAATTTTAAACAAATAGTGTCTAACCCTTCACTCAAGTAGGAAGAAGAGTCAAATTTGCTCCTGCACCATGCAAAATTGACCTAAAACAGGTGTAGCGTGCTATGATAACCTAAATAATCAAAAAAATACCTTTTCAAAAATCAGATCATGATTGATCCCGAGGAATATAGAAGATGTTGGCCTCATAATCCATACACTATTCGCTATCAACTAACCCTCCCGCAAGATTATCAAGTTTCACATGTGAGTTACTATGAAGGATGAACTCACTACTTCCAAACAATAATGAGCGTATTCATAAGATGCCAAAATTGTTCAATATGTATGAGATATACATACAAAAGACCCAAAACAAATTATAATAATAGAGAAAAATATATAAATGTTACGAGATCAAAATGTGATCTTATGTAGGAATGATTCAAGTAACAGAACCTATGGACAATAATAAGTCACTAGAACATAGAGAAGGAAAAGTTTATAGGATTTATCAATAGAGCTTACCTCTACGAAAGTGCATAGATGGGACGACTCGGCCGGTCGTATTGAGTATTACAGCCATGTTCTCCCATTTACTGCTCAATTTGTGCTTTACAGTTATTAGACTTAGCTGTGAAGCTCGTCAATACTTTCAGTTCTTTATTTAGTATTGTTACTTGCTGAGTTAGTTGTACTCATACTATACCCTGCACCTCGTATGGAGATCCAGGTACTTTCGAACACAGTGGTTGCTAGTTTCTCGGAGTTTTATCTGTTGGAAATTATCGAGATAGTTACTTGACATTTGAAGACCTTAACTCTCTTTCCTTTCAATTTTTGTACTGTTCTATATTTTTAAGCAACGTTTTTAGCAGTCAGACTTTGTTATCATTTAGATGCTCATGTACTCAGTGACACCGGATTTTGGGAGTATTTATGTCGGTATTTGTGAAATTTTTATATTGAATTTAAATATTATATTTTCAAACTTAAAAGAAATTTTGGTTTATTAAGGTTGTCAGCTTGCCTGGTATTAAGATAGGCGTCATCACGACAGGCGTAATTTTGGGTCGTGACATTGAAGGATCGGATCCTTGAACCTTGAGTCATCTTGTATCCCTTGGGGAGTTAAAACTGCTAGAAATCTGAAGATTGCCACTATTTAACAACAAAACAAATGCAACTGATTAGGTTCAAAGATCAGCTCAAAGTAGACAAAATCATCTATATTCATTTTTTTGTAGATTAATTACTTCAAGAAGATGAAAGTTATGCACCCGTTTCTCCTTTAATAGATGCATCAAATTTCCATCCAGATCTCGTACCCAACTATTTCAACTCTGTCAACTGAATACTCAAGTAGTTCATTTGAACGCTGCATACACATGAAATACATAAGCTGCTAACATTAACAACTGGAGTTATAATAATACTAAAAGTAGTTTAAAGAAAATTCTACATCAAAAGTTTTAAGGTTCTGCCAATCTAAACTTGTATGAGACTTAAAAAATAATGACAATCCCTGCTTTATCTTATTTTACTATATTTAGGATGATGAAAAACTGAACTATAAGTAACAAACAAAGATTGATGGTGTTATTATTTATCATCAATATTTCATTGAAGTATGAGCAATTTTCATCTTCTTTTGATTCAGATAAAGTTAAAACACTACAGTATATATGAATCACAAATAAATCATTTTACTGTAGCAATAAACAAAACCTTAGCCATTTTTGACCTTTTTTTACCCTTTTTCTTTTCATCCATTGTAGAGGGATCAATAAGTTATCCCATCTATCTATACATTTATCTAGACTCTTGATAATTTTACTCCTAGATCATTAACAAGATTCACTGACCAGGTAAAGAAATCCTCATAAATGAGTATGTACTTAAAAATTGAATGTGATAGACTAGCAACATGGTTGAAATTCTTCTATACATAGTGGTAAAACAACAATGAAACAGAAAAAAAGTCCATGGATAAACTAACCAGTTTAAATTGGCATTTTTTCTAAACAATAAGAAAGCAGGTACAAAAAGGAGTCCTAAATATACATTATAATCAATAATCAGAAAAGTTCTAGAAACTAAACTGTAATTGCCTGATTAATATGGAACATAGCAAGTCTTGAAGGAAAGAAGAAACATTAACCACCAAGCATTTCATAACGAAAAAGCTTAGAAAGATCCAATCTTGAAGTGTCATGTTGTAAAAATGGCTAACCAGCTTGTTCTCCCATTGAAAAGAAAAAGAACGCAGAAGACTAAAACTAAGATCAACTCTTTGCATTTCCTTTGTGTTTAATAAAGGGAGTAAAGTCTATGTTATAATGCCACCTTTAAATGCAAGAGTACATGAATAATCAAATTTCTTCAAGAGAAATATTCTTCTTACTTCATTGATTGAGTACGTGAATAATGAGCCTTTTGTGAATAATTAACTTTGAACAAATTCAATATTATAACTTGATAAAATACACAATAAAGCTTCTAATGAAGGTCGCAAATTGGTTTAAACAATTATACTGGAACATGCTTATTATTATATTCTAACCCATCGGATTCTTTAAACCGAGTTAGACAAGCATAGGACCTAATCAAATTGTCAAATATTTTAGCATATATACTCCCCAAAACACAGAAAAGGAACACTGTAATAACAATTCAAAGCATGCTTTTAACATATCCATAAAATATCATAGTCATTTCAAGCCCAAAATTCATTTGAATCATGCACACCATTGTCTTTAACCAAAGCTAAATACACCTTAATACCAGGAAATTAAGAAGCAAGAGCTATAAAGAATTTATATCAAAAGAACAGATCAGGCGGTAAGAAGTTGCTAATCTTAATTTTTCTCGGCCTCTATCCCTTGCAACTGATAAATAGTTATTTGATAACAACCCATTGAAATGGCTAGTTTTTTAATATTGAACAACAACACACTGGAAGTGAACATTAACAGTTACACTTTACCTCAATAGGCGAGTAAAGAAGCACACATATCAGATGAATAATCCTCAATCTACAATTACTTCCACCACCTAGAGAACAGGCACAAAACTGCAGACGTCGTCAACATTCAAATACGCATAAAAATAATATGTACTCATCATCTAACAAAATTGTCATATTCGCGGGTTTCTAAAGTGAAAAATACAAGATAAAAAATAAGATCTTGTATGTGTTAGTCGTATGAAAGAAAAAGAGTATTCACCTTTCAAGAATAATAACCTCCATCACGAAATAACAGAGCTTAACTTCAAACTTAGCAGTAGTCTTACCCAAGTTTTTGGAAGCGGCTGTAAGCCCTAAACAATGAAATCCCTAATTATTTCAACCCACTCTAAAGAGCAAATATCGTATGAAAGAAAAAGAGCATTCACCTTTCAAGAATAATAAACTTCCATCACAAAATAATAGAGCTTAATTTCAAAATTAGCAGTCATCTTATCCATATTTTGAGAAACGATATTAAACCCTAAACAATAAGATTCCATTTGAATCGGATGGCACACAATCGAGACAAAGTTTAGCACCTCCATAAGTGATTTACACAGAACCCAACATAATTATCTCAACTCACTCTAATTTACTTCAATCAATCTGCTAAAAGATACGAGAAGAGCCCTCAACTTTTGTGATAGAATTTTAAGGAAGAAAAAACGGAGATTTTCTTGTAAATATCAGAGACAGGTTTTAGCGAATATTTTAGGGCATAGTTTTTCACTAAAAGTTTTAGGGGGAAATTATAGCGGGAATTTGTAGAAAATATTTTACGGCGCGCTTATAAAGAGTTGCTTCTACAAATATTAACAATCACGCTCGCAAAGCATTGCATTACATATGAATAAGCGTTGCTATTTATGTTATGATTTGGTAATACTTAAAAAACGTAGTCTATACTATCAAAATAAACGCTTTATAAGTATTGACTAACAGTCGTAGCCAAAAGCTCTTAGCAAAGACCACCCCTTAGAAAGCGTTGTCACATACATATTTGGCCACTCTTTTTAGGCATTGTCTAAAATTGATGTGGTCTTAGACTAAATTTGTTGTAGTGTGTCATTTAGAGAGTGCATAGAAACGGCCTTTGTTGAGACTTAATAGTTTGCTTGAGTAATTTTTCAGTCAAAGTTGTATAAAAGGAAATTTGAAGTTAAGTTGAAGAAAAGAGTTTGTAAAATTAAACCTTGATTTTTATGATTCTTATCTCATTGCATTGACCACTAATTCACAATCTTACCGCGGTTTACGCAACGATCCATTGGCCATGTGACCCGACGCGGGCCTACCCTTAGGGTAAGGGGGTCACCGGCCTGCGATAATTTAAAAAAAATATATGTATATATCTTAAATACCATGTATATATTTTTGTTGGCATGCTAAGACTCAAAGCTTAACTAGCTATATTGGCCGATTTTTAGGGGGCACGACATAACTTTTAGTGCCTGGGCTTAATTCCCACTCTGACATTTGCTCAAATTTTATTCCATAGTGGTGACACCGCTACTTTCAAATTTTGGATTCGCCTCTAATTGATACCATTTGATAAGATGGCGAAGATAACAAACCTAATCAATTTTAGACCGTATCACCAGCATAACGTTCTAGATCCATTGGAGAAAAATGAAATAAGCTTAAATTAACATAAACCACGAGCCTCAATGCAAGTCTAGAACGAGAGGAAAGCTTAAATAAAACCACGTTATATTTTCTTTTTATTTTTTTCGTCGGGGGGGAGGGGGGGGGACAAAAATTGTTATAAAATCTAATCACAAACTATATTGTTCACTCCAATTGATGAGCCCTCCATCTAGGAATGCATCTGCACAAAATAACATATAGTAATTGTTAGGAATAGGAAAAGGGATGGCATGTATTCATACATTTTACATAACAAATAGCTACCTTGAAATAGACAATTCTTTGTTTTTCTCTTTTCCTTTAAGCCTGCTTGAAGCGAACTGTATGGATCTCTTCAATAATACCAGGGTTAGCTGCCAACATTTTCCTATCAAGAGTGACCCAACCATCTTCTATCTTTCTCTTGTATTCTATCTGAGCATTAATGAGATAATCTTTCCAAGTACATTTGCTAAGTCTCCACTGGTACTTCTTCAACAATTGTTGACGTAGAAACTTTTTAAATTCTTCGTCACATTGTACTGTTAAACTCTTGGGCCAACAAGTCAAGAAGATGGCATCAAAGTAAGTGGAATATGACAGTTAAATTTCTAGAAATAGATGTCAAGTTCTCAACTTGAGGTGTGGGATGATGATCGCTTATTCCACTTGCTCTCAAGCTTTTAGAGCTAAAGCTACTGAAAAGTATATTAGACGTTGTCAAGTCTACCCTATAATCATTCAACTCAACTAGAGATCTCCTCAAGTTAATGAAGCTCTCAGCATCCCATAGATAGTGATAATCTATGAAAATCCTGCATTGGCTTGAAACACATTCAAAAGATAGAGATGGCAGTCTATATTGACCTGAGATAGCTAAGGAGAGTAAGTTGGGCACATCAAAAATGGCTTGCAATAAGCATTCACAATTGCTTATGCTACAAACCTCAAGGGTTGAACTTGAGATTTTCATTATTTTCAAGTACTTACAGTAGCTTAAGCTCAATTCCTTAGTGAAGGGTAATTTTTGTATAAGTTGGAAGAGAATCGTATCATCCATTGTAGCCTTCACAAATTCTACCCTTCTGAGATTCTGGCAAGTATCAATATTGAACGAACGCAAGAATATGTCAACACCAGATGAATAATAAGCTGGCTCCAACTTATCTTTGTTCACACATTCGAAAGACAACAATTTTGGTGCATCAACAATATGAACTTCCTCAATTGGGCAGCATAATATATTAAGAGACAAAAGGTTAGGAAGATGTGAAGCAAGAATGCCACTAAACCCAAAACAGTAGTGCAACGATATCATCATGATCTGAGGGCTGCAACATGAAATTAGGCTATCAAGTGTTGATTCAGAAAGAGTAACATAATGCAAGCTTAGACTTTTTAGGTTACGACACTTAATTTTGCTATCTTCAAATAGTATTGGTTTTAGTTTCAGTACTTTGCAATGATTTAGCTCCAACTCCTGCAATGATTCCATAGCAAATATGGTATAAGCTGGCAAAGTATATCTTTCTGAAACCGATCTTGATCTGCTTTTCGCCAAAAGTGCAACCTGTGAAACCCCTTTCTCTACAACTATATCTAACCATTTATCCACCAGACCATCACAGTCAGTTTGATTAGAGAAAGAGATGCAAAGCTTAAAAGTTGAAATAGGTAGATTTTCATGACGATACCTTTCCAAAGTATTGTCTACAATTCTCAAGAACTTACCTTGAAAGTTTTGAAAGTAAGATTCATCAAAACTAAGATGGGGGTTCGTCGAACATGCTTTAAGCCATGGCTTTGACAACACGCTGGTTCGGGCCGCAGTTTTTGTGGAGAGACGAGAGAGTATTTGGTGGAGGATTTCTATTGGTAACTCTGGAGTTCTATCCATGGCACTGAGGTTTTGTTCATCTATGTCATGTTCAAGGTTCCAGTTAGTATCCAAAGAAGAGAATATCTGAACCAAATGGAGTCTAGTCCATAATTATAGGTTCTCTCTAGTGTCGAATGACGGAGTCTTTTGACGAATTCTATTTACGCCACAATTTAGCGGAACAGATGAGTACAACTCTTAAAAACAACATTTAACGAAATGGAAAACCAAAGACTTAATTAATATTTAAATAACTTTATTTGCTTGAAAAGGAAAGAACTGGTCTAATAAAATGAAAATTACAAAATAGAAAGTGGCCAGTTTCCTTAAGAGATCGAGTACCATTTACTTAATTGAATTGTGGGGAAAGAAATCTTGTGAAAAACTTTTTTTTTGGAAATTTTGGGAACACTTTCTAAAAATTTTACTGTATATACTTTATATATTAAATTTTCTTGACTTTTTCATGTGTTTAATTTTTATATTTTAACTCTATTTATTAAAAATCCTAGCTTGCCACAGCATATGATGACATTTGGAGCAAAGATGATCCAAATGCTGTTGGTCTTCTACATAACTGCATCGTGAAAAAGCAACTAAACTAGCAGTGGTGATCGAAAAATGTGCAGTCAGCCATATTTACCTTGAGAAACACCATTTCGTGTATCACAACGCATAAACTTTTATGTAAATGTCAATGATTCTGACTTGTCGATGCGACATTCAGACAATATTTTTAAGCAACAGAATCCGAAATGTACAACTTTCTATTACTGTTTTAAGTTGTTAGAGTTAAATATTTAATAAAAAATTTGCAAGTAAAAATAAAACCAAAATAAACCATGAACACCACCCTTACCAACTAGATCGGTTCAAAACAATGGAACATGTATAGAATATTTCAAAAATCAAAATAATCAGCTCAGACTGAAAATAGAGTTATTTCCGAAAACTCATGCCAACAGGCCCACAATGTATTCAGAACAAAAAGACAACCCAAACTCGATTTGGACAAGCACTAACAAAAATATTAGTCAAAAACTAATAATAGCAGGATTATTCAAAAACTTATTTCCCAACTTGTCTAAAACAAGTTTCCAAAACAAATCCAAAAGTTAAACAAGCTAAGCTATTTGTGCAAACAGTCGCCGTATTGCCCCAGTTCATCAAACAAATCAATGCGCCCAAAAGGCATGGGTTTAAGGATCAGAATGAGCCATTCCATGTCTCGAGCTACTTCTTACTTGATATTTATTTAGGAAAACGGGATGCATCTCAATAAAAAGTACTCAATTCAATGTATTAATTCAAGCGCAACTGGCATAACTTTGATCCCGCAGTAAACAAAATGCTTGCAACGCCATCAGAGGATTTATAGTAACTACTATAACCCTCGAGATGGCAAGACGAGAAAATTTCAGTGCAAACATTACAAAATACCTAATAAACTTCTTGCAAGTGTTCGAACTCCGCATACTACAGAGAAGCATAAAACATATAGGAACTGGCAAGTAGATAATTTATCTCTTCTTGGAGACACCAACAGTCTTCCCCCTGCGGCCAGTGGTCTTTGTGTGCTGACCACGTACACGAAGGCCCCAGTAGTGACGCAAACCACGGTGATTCCTGTGAGCAAGAGACATAATAAATACAAGACATATAAAACGCAACTCACAGAGCGACTACTTGTATAGCTAAGAAGTTAATAGCAAAAGCATGGCCTGATAAGGCACCTGATCTTCTTCAGCCGTTCCAGATCATCCCTGAGTTTCATGTCAAGTGCATTAGATGTAACTTGAGAAAACTTGCCATCCTTGTAATCCTTCTGCCTGTTCAAAAACCAATCTGGGATTTTGAATTGACGAGGATTAGCCACAACCACCATCAAGCTGTCAAGCTCTGCAGAAGAGAGTTCTCCGGCCCTACAGGAGATAGAGCAGACAGAAATTCAGATAACCTTGCAACAAGCTATATATGGCTCGAAAAGATCATATGGAACACTAAGCTCTTAACACAACACCTACTGCTACATAATCACTTGGTGGCTTAAATTCTTTCTTGTCAGAACACTATAAACAGAGATGCTTTTAATGATGTAAGCCTGGAAATTTCCGGTACAGAGCAAGGCAATATCATGCACGGTACACCGCCATGAAGATTTCAGTACAGGGAAAAGAAAAAATTTATTTGATAGTAATTTTGGCAATCTGCGGATCCATTCATTGTAAATATAAACTGTTTGTTAGCAAGAAAGATGATAAAAGACTCCACAAAAATCTTCCAAGAAAGAACTAACGCTGTTTTTCCTCTTACTCACCACACAACAATGCATGGAAGATGTTGCTCAGCGAGACGTGTGTGAAAATCCAAGAACCAAGTATACGTTGAGACTTTACATAAAAGCACAATTAAAGTGGGCACCTATTGAGGAGAGATGGCACGAAGAAAAGGATCATACATGTAACGCAAGGAAAAACCAATGAACACAAATACCATTTATGTGAAACAAGAAACTGAAGAAACTATAATTAAGCAAAATAGAACAAGTAAAAACAGCAGACTATACCAGGTAAAATGATGTCAGTCAAGTTTAACGAACCACTTTAAATATTTCATTCAGATGTCATTATGTCATACTTTTATCCAGATTATATGAGTTTTCTTAAGCAAGGAGAGTGAAACCCCCAACCTGCATTACTTCAGATATGCAGTCGGTGGGTACATTCCCCTGAAAATTGGAGAATATCACTACTTTAAGGATAGCTTTCTCTTCGAAAAGCTTAGCAGCGAGCAGCTTCCTGTAGCCAAGTATTCCTATGCAGAAGTGCACAAGACCCTCCCCAGAACAGTCTCCCTCCTAAACTCCAGCTTGAATATACAAAGACAATCACCCCCCATAGACCAAGCTCAGTCAGTCACAATTGTTTATATTTCCAAAGTATTTTCTTCAATCTATTTTTCATTTCAATTGATACTTAAACAAATAACAGTCTATATTAGCAAAAATAACAAACACCAAAGCTATATACTAACAACCATTGATCCTTCTACAATTTCCTTGTCTCTCCTACTAAGCCACAATCCTAAACTAGCTGGAGTTACCATTATAAATGAATTAAACACTTTTAGCTATATCAATTTTAATTGACTACCTCTTAATTAGCAATTTTAATTTTTTCCTTCAATGTGCTACCACTGCTTCCACGTCTTCCAGCTGAAAAAATTAAAACGCAACAAAGTTTGACAGCAAAAGCTACATCTAAGTAAAAAATATAGTATAATAAACTACAGAACAGCTACGTAATAAAAATGTGCAATAATGAAAACATCTATTCGGATCTAGATATCCTGATTGTTGTTGTGATACTAATATTGCATCCCTTTTTGTCCTTTTATCTTTTTGTTTTTGTTTTTTGAGCCGAGATTCTTTCGGAAACAGCGGCTCTACTACTTCGCGTAGGGGTAAGGTCTATTTACACACTAAACTAAACAGAACCCATTAGTGGTATTTTACTGGGTTGTTGTTGTTTTTTTTTATTCGGATCTAGATAATAATAATAATAACTATGATAAAGAAAAAGGGAAAATGGAAAAAATAACCTCTTGTTCATGTCGATATCGGCTTTTTTGCAAGCAATGTTAGCAAAACGGCGACCGATACCTTTGATAGAGGTCATAGCGAACATGATCTTCTGCTTTCCATCAACGTTCGTGTTTTGCACACGAAGAATGTGCTGAAACTCTTCGTTTGCAACCAGCGACTATTTTTGTTATTATTGAACCACCAAAACAAACAAAATTAAAACAGAATCAGTAAGCAAATAAATCAACAGTGCAATTCACTAGAGAGAGTAGGAATTGTTTTGTTAGATCATACCATGGCTAGGGTTTCACTGCTTTGGGCACAGTGCGGCTGCTTTAGTTTGAAAGAGATGCCAAGCTCCAAAGAAAACCCTAGATACGGAAGAAAAAAAATTGCTTTGATACGATACATATATATTTAAAGGATAAGGGTAATTTTGTAATTAGAAATTCTCCTGTTAATTAGAAACTCTCTTAATTAACACTAAAATGATGTCTAATACTTGGCCAAACTTCTCCCATGCCAAAAGACTTTTTAAAACATATTACATTATTTTTCAAAGTTAGAAATGTTTGACACGCTTTTATAAGAAAAAAAAGGTGATTTTGAGTAGGAGCAAAGCATTTTTGAAGAAACAGAAAAAAATTATTTTTTTCCAAAAATATTTTTGAAAAATACTTTTGAAAAATATACTTAGAAAAACTTTTTAAAAGGTTAGCCAGACAATAATTGTTGCTCATAAGTCTTTTCATACTGTCTCATGTTTGATCACCTCTACCTAAAATTTCTTTGGATTACTACGCCCTCTCCTTGAACTTGCGAGCCATAGTCAACCTCTCACACCTCGCACAAGCATTTGTGCTTCTCATTTTCACGTACCCGAATCATCTCAGTCTAGCTTTCCGCATCTTGTCCACCATACAAGTGTAACGACCCGCCGGTCGTTTTGAGTAGTATAACCTCGTTTTCCCATTTACTGCTCAATTTATGCTTTATAGTTATTTTATGACTTACCGGGTTAGTGGGTTCGGGTCCGGAAGAAATTCAGAGTGAAATGAGACACTTAGTCTTATAATTGAAAATTCAAATTAGAAAAGTGGACCGGATATGGACATATGTGTAAACGACCTCGAATTTGAATTTTGATAATTCCAATAGCTCTGTATGGTGATTTGGGGCTCAGGAGCGTTTCCGAAATATTATTTGGAGGTCCGTGGTGGAATTAAGCGTGAAATGCCAAAAGTTAAATTTTTGGGAAGTTTGACCGGGGGTTGACTTTTTGATAACGGAGTCGAAATCCGATTGTGAAAATTTGAGTACCTCCGTTATGTCATTTATGACTTGTGCGCAAAATTTGAGGTAAATCGGACGTGATTTGGTAGGTTCCGGAGTCGTTTGTATAAATTAGAAATTTTAAAGTTCATTGGAATTGAATTAGGGTGTAATTCATGGTTTTAGCGTTGTTTGAGGTGATTTGAGGGTTCGACTAAGTCCGTATGATGTTTTAGGACTTGTTGGTATATTTGGTTGAGGTCCCGAGGGGCTCGGGTAATTTTGGATGGTTAACGGATCATTTTTTGCCTTAGTGAGATTGCTGATATTTGCTG